GAGGGAGAGAAACAAAAAAGCAGCTGATGGAGCCAGCAGCCAATAGCGAAAAAAACAACAACAAAACATCCATCTGTCAGGTCCGTTTGCAGCGAACTGCCTCACTTCCCTCTTTTTCTCCCCTCTCTCTCATCCCACATGCTCAGTGACAATGCTGAGACGCCTCACCTCACACAGCTGACACTCATTCCACTAATCACTTCCCTTTCTTATTTAAACCCCTGGCAGATGCTCCGTCGCTGCCAGAGCATTAATGTATTTTGATCATGTATACGCGATGCCAATGCTGGCAGTTTCTGTACGGTTGTTTTCGTATGTATATATGTATATTGGTTCACCAGGTTTCAATGCTGACAGTTCCAATGCTGTTGATCCCTTTTTCTACACCTCCGGAGATTCTCATCTGCCTGTCTTCCTGGTTCAAGCGTCCCTCCTGGGTTCCTCCTGGTCTCCTTGTCCCTCCTGGTCTTCTCCTGGGTTCCTCATCTCTCTGGTTTATTGTTCCTCCTGGGTCCTCGTTTTTGTCTTCCTGGTTCCTCATCGTCCTGGTCTTCTGACTCTCCTGTTCCCTACAGTCCTCCTGTCTACTCACCTGCCCGTCCTGGTCTCCTCAGTAATCACTGCCCTACTCTGGTTAATGGACTATACAGTATTGTTCAAAATAATAGCAGTACAATGTGACTAACCAGAATAATCCAGGTTTTTAGTATATTTTTTATTGCTACATGGCAAACAAGTTACCAGTAGGTGCAGTAGATTCTCAGAAAGCAAACAAGACCCAGCATTCATGATATGCGCGCTCTTAAGGCTGTGCAATTGGGCAATTAGTTGAAAGGGGTGTGTTCAAAAAAATAGCAGTGTCTGCCGTTGACTGTACAAACACAAAACTATTTTGTACAAACGTTTTTGTTTCTAGGATTTAGCAATCCTGTGAATCACTAAACTAATATTTAGTTGTATGACCACAGTTTTTTATAACTGCTTCACATCTGTGTGGCATGGAGTCAACCAACTTGTGGCACCTTTCAGCTGTTATTACACTCCATGATTCTTTAACAACATTCCACAATTCATTTACATGTCTTGGTTTTGCTTCAGAAACAGCATTTTTGATATCACCCCACAAGTTCTCGATTGGATTAAGGTCCGGGGATTGGGCTGGCCACTCCATAACATTAATTTTGTTGGTTTGGAACCAAGACTTTGCTCGTTTACTAGTGTGTTTGGGGTCATTGTCTTGTTGAAACAACCATTTCAAGGGCATGTCCTCTTCAGCATAAGGCAACATGACCTCTTCAAGTATTTTGACATATGCAAACTGATCCATGATCCCTGGTATGCGATAAATAGGCCCAACACCATAGTAGGAGAAACATGCCCATATCATGATGCTTGCACCACCATGCTTCACTGTCTTCACTGTGTACTGTGGCTTGAATTCAGAGTTTGGGGGGCGTCTCACAAAATGTCTGTGGCCCTTGGACCCAAAAAGAACAATTTTACTCTCATCAGTCCACAAAATGTTCCTCCATTTCTCTTTAGGCCAGTTGATGTGTTCTTTGGCAAATTGTAACCTCTTCTGCACGTGCCTTTTTTTTAACAGAGGGACTTTGCGGGGGATTCTTGAAAATAGATTAGCTTCACACAGACGTCTTCTAACTGTCACAGTACTTACAGGTAACTCCAGACTGTCTTTGATCATCCTGGAGCTGATCATTGGCTGGGCCTTTGCCATTCTGGTTATTCTTCGATCCATTTTGATGGTTGTCTTCCGTTTTCTTCCACGTCTCTCTGGTTTTGCTCTCCATTTTAAGGCATTGGAGATCATTTTAGCTGAACAGCCTATAATTTTTTGCACCTCTTTATAGGTTTTCCCCTCTCCAATCAACTTTTTAATCAAAGTACGCTGTTCTTCTGAACAATGTCTTGAACGACCCATTTTCCTCAGGCTTTCAAATGCATGTTCAACAAGTGCTGGCTTCATCCTTAAATAGGGGCCACCTGATTCACACCTGTTATTTCACAAAATTGATGACCTCACTGATTGAATGCCACACTGCTATTTTTTTAACACACCCCTTTCAACTAATTGCCCAATTGCACAGCCTTAAGAGCGTGCATATCATGAATGCTGGGTCTTGTTTGCTTTCTGAGAATCTACTGCACCTACTGGTAACTTGTTTGCCATGTAGCAATAAAAAATATACTAAAAACCTGGATTATTCTGGTTAGTCACATTGTACTGCTATTATTGTGAGCAATACTGTAGGTTGTGCTGCTTGTTGTGTGAGTGGTGTTGTTTTACCTGGATTGTTAGTTGCACAAATCATACATGACTGACAATATTTCTGAGCATAGGTAGAGAACCCTTTTGTGAACCAGTGCTGTGTTATGATGCCTAATATTCCCCCTTTGGACACATGGTCAAGACTGTGTGCGAGTTTGGTGTAGTGATGAAAGAAGTGTTTCGGCAGGCAGGGGTTGCCGTCAGGGCCCCACCAGATGTTATCTGTAACAGCAGCTCCACAGGAGCACCATAGCTGTTTCTCTGGAGGAGTAGCAAAAGACTGTAGTGCAAGGAGAGATCTGGGTACAGACACAGGAGTACAAACAAACAAGGCATGTGTAGGTGGAGGAGAGAGTGCTGCCTCCTTTGCAGCTGCATCTGCTTGGGAGTTACCTTGAGAGACAGAATCG